ACAAAATAAAGTAGACAAGTTTAGGTCATCTGAGCTGAGGAACTAATCAGAAATGATTTATCATTCTAATTTAATTTGGCATCAGCAAAAGAATGCAATGGCAAAAAGAAAGAGGAGTGAGATGCACACGCAAGCGCACACACACACAAAAACAGACCTTGGCCGAAACCCATTTCTGACCTCTAATGTCTGGACCTAATGAATATGTCCTATTAATTGACACCTATTGACTGATTGATTGATGATTGATTGATACCTATTTAATATGTCTCTGCAACCATGAGATCTAGAAACCCCTGATTAAAAATGAAAGCTGGGTTTGCTCTTTCCATTTTGCCATCCTATGCTCTTGATTTCTTAGTCATTGTGCTAGAGAGTTGGGACCAGGTTTGGGCAAGTTCAAAGCTATTGCTTAGCTACAAAACTCCTAAGTAGCCTTGAACAACACATTGCTTGACTATACCATTTCCACTACTGCTTAGATTCTCTTACCAGCAAGACTTTGGTCACGGAGCAAGGTTTCTACAAAAGCGCAGGAGCCATCCAACTATAATTCACAGTATCTGAGCTAGACAAGGTTGCATCAGCAATGACTAGGCACCAATTTTTTTAGTTGCCCTTCCTCTCCCACCCCTTCCTGGAGCATGAGCAGGGCCCTAGCTCAGAACATGTGCTGGTTCTGAACCCGTCCTCCTGACTAGGGCTCAGGGAAGGGAAAGGCTGGGGTGATCTGAGGGATCTGAAGCTGGGAGGTAAGACCAGCTAGATTGTGTTAGATCCCCCAAATCCATAGCCCACCTGAATGGGACACCTTCTGGAGGGAAGGGCAGTAATCAGGCAGTGGAGGTAGTTTCTACTGCCTCCCCTTCCTTGAAACCCATTAAGTGCTAGGTGGGCTAGCTTGTATGAGCGCAGGCTTGCATTGCTCACTATTTTCGACTACAGCATGTGGAATTTTGAAGATTATCTAAGCATTCACTTTCTCATAAGAGAAGATAATTTGTTATAGTAATGCTAAGCACTCGCCTACTTTTTAACCTACCCCTAGCCCCAGTGTTGTCGTTATAATGATTTTATTGCATTAGCCATGCGGCCATAGCATAATATACATAGAAATAACAACATAAAATGGGGGTGGGGAGATAAAAGTGTATGCCGTTCTGGGCGAATACTTTGAGAAAATGGGGATAACAAAGGTAACGGGAGATTTAAAACATTGAGTGACAGAGAATACAAAAAACAGGTTCGATTGTGCGGCGTATCGACTACATCTGTGGTATTGAGGAAGGAGTTGGTGCCGCTTTCCTCTTCATCACACTAAGCAGGAAATTAGCTGTCATCTCGGTAATCCAACGGTCAGAATCCTGCAGAAGAAGGGACACTATCCAAGGCTGGATTGGGAGATGAAGCTTGTTCACGAGAGGAGTTAGGAACCGAGATCTTTCATCTGTCCAGTTGGGACAGAAGAGCATTACATGTTCCATAGTCTCCAGAACCGTGTCATTGCAGGAGCATGTTCTATTTGCGCTGGGAACTCTGGAGTAACGACCCGACAGAACTGCTGTAGGAAAACAGTTGAGACGGGCACAGGTAAAGGCCCTTCGTTTAGCCTCCGAAGGAATTGTAAAGCAGTATAGAGGGATCCCTTCAGGGGGTGGAATAGCTAGGGCTAAGCCTGAACACGGCCCTCTTGCATGGGAAGCTGTGTTAGAGAAGTCAAGTTGCTGCAGCTTCTTTTTGATTAGAGGTAGGGCTGCCGGGCTTATACACTCTAAATTAAAAACAGTTTTGCGGTTCAAATTGAGAAGAGAGCGGAATTTGAGATTAATTGTAGTTTTCCAAGGAGAATTATGAATATCTCTTAGGATCAGATTGGAGAAACCACCTCTAATTCGAGCATCCGATGGTAGTAGGTGGGAGCTGTAGGAAATGGCTCGACTCCATGCTCGTTTTACAATTGAGGGCTGGGCGAACTCGAGACGTAAGGCTGCACCTGAGACACATCTTGGGACGCCGGAAAGAGATCTCAGAAACATGTGAAGTGGGCGATCCAAGTTACCTGATATTGCCGTAGTCCATACTTCGCAGCCATATAATAGTTTAGGGACAACTTTGGCATTAAACATTTGAATTGCTGCTGGAAGGTGTTTGCCGCCCTTCTGGTGATAAAATCGGACAATGGCATTAGAGGTTGTAGTTGCAGCAAGAGAGGCAGATTGTAGATGGGTGGTCCAGGAGAGATTATAAGTAAATATTAAGCCTAGATATTTAAAGGCTTTTACCTTTTCTAAGTAGCCACCTGTGATCTTAAGCGGCTCCAGCTTGAGTTTGCGGGAACGAGTGAAGTGGAGAACTTTCGATTTTTTATAATTAATATTAAGAGCTTCCGCCTTACAATAGGCGATAAATGCATTAACTGCATTTGCTAGGTCCGCAGCTGTTCTGGATAAGATGACGGCATCATCCGCATAGAAAAGGGAAGCAACGGGGTGGCCTGCTAAGTGAGGAGGGTACTTAGTTGCTAGCTTCAAAGGGGAAAGGGCGTCATGAAGATAAAGATTAAACAGTAAAGGGGCCAAGAGACAACCTTGTCGGACGCCCCTGGCCGTTGGGAATGGGGTGGTAAGGTAGCCGTTGGGACCAATTCGAACGCGAGCTGTGGTGTTTGAATAAAGGGAAATAATTAGGGAAAGGAGGTGTGGATCAATTCCCAAATGGGCAAGTTTGGACCATAATCTCTGTCTAGGAATGGAATCAAAGGCGGCCTCCAGGTCCATGAAAGCGGCAAACAGGTGGCCTTGCCTTGGTGCAGTGTATTTACTGGCAAGGTGATAAAGAGTTAGACAGTGGTCCATGGTTGATGCTGACTTCCGGAAGCCAATCTGTTCTGGCGGTAGAATGTTTCTCTCATGGACCCATGAAAGAAGTTCTTCCAGTAAGACAGCGGCAAATATTTTCCCCGGAATAGATAGTAAGCTGATGGGGCGATAGTTCCTAGGGATGTTTGGCTGGCCGCCTTTGAAAATCGGGACTATTGTAGCTTCTCTCCAGGAGTCGGGGATGTCTAAGGCGGAGGAGATAGCGGTGAATACAGAAGTCAGCTGTTCACTCCACCAAAGAGGATCAGTCAGGAAAAGGTCCAACGGGACCATGTCTGGGCCGGGGGCCTTATTCCTACGCATGGACATTATGATGTTGAAGATACGGGTTGAGGTAAAATTTACTGAGGAGGTGGAGCTAGGAGAACGGGAACAGAGGTCCGAGGGGGGTTGAAGGTGATCTGTAAGATTATTTGGAGAAGCGAAACTGGCCGAATAATAAGCGATCCATTCGTCAGCGGAAATCAGGATAGCTGAATTGGGTGGTGCCGAAGGCCTAACTAAGCGCCAAAAGGAGCGGGAGTCATGCCTCTCTACAGCTGAACGAAGAGTGGACCAAGCCTCAAGGATGTGTTGCTGTTTCTTGCAATGAATCATGTTTCTGTATGTCCTTTTAGTAACTAGAAGCTCTGCACGGATTTGGGGGTCGTTGGAAAATTTGATGATTCTGACCATTTTCCTAATTCGCCTTCTTAGGACTTTACATTCCTTGTCAAACCAGGGTGATTCGGAGAAGAAGCGTTGGTGGGTAGGCGAGGTAATGGTTATGTAAGTTGTTGAAAAAGCATCAATTAATTTCCGGTATTGGTCAGCGGGCGGAATTGAGTCAGAAAGAACTGTAGGCATATCAAGTGATTTTTGTATGTCCAGGGCAAGAGAGGAGCTGAGGCTTGTCCATTTCTTTGTTTTATATACAGGGTAGCTTTGTACGGTGGAACTATAGTTCGAGGGGACTGAGAATGGCTCTATTAGGCTTAACATTAAAGTCAATGGAAGGTGGTCACCACCAAAATATTCAGCCACTTCCATTTTTGTAGAAATTGAGAATAGCTCTGGCGTCAATAGAATGTAGTCGACAACACTGGTCCCCCGGGAAGAGATGCACGTTAACTGCTGCGAGGACAAGGGAGTAACGTTGCCATTTGCGATGCAAAGATCATTTTCGATGGCCAATTGGGCCATCAGCCTCCCCGACGCATTTGTTATGGGATCAAGAGAGCATCTATTTCCCCAGGGGTGCTGCAGGGGATTGTCCAGAAGTGCTGCGGAAGATAATATAGCATCGTCGTTGGGACCTATTCTTGCATTAAAGTCACCTAAGAGGATTTGAGGAAGTCCTGGGTTAGTTGTTTGAAGGTCATGAAGCCAAGACGAAAGTTCAGACCATCTTTCATTACGGTCGGAATCATTAATTGCTGGAGGCAGATATACTGTAGTTATCAACCATGGGCTTTTGGTCTTTGGAAGGTGGATCTTTATAGTGAGAAAGTAAGGGGAAGATTTAAGTTCCTCGCAGATAGTGAGGGATAAGCTGGTTGAGATAAGACAGGCGAGGCCAACTTGAGGGCGACCCCTGTTAGCTAGTTTGCGAGCACAGGAGCTAAAGGAACAATAATATGGGAGAGTGATACTTTGTTGGGACCAGGTCTCTTGGAGGCACACAATGTCAAAAGAAGAGATAAAGTTTATTGCCTCAGGATCCATTTGCTTTGTCGCCCAGCCGTTAACATTCCAGGAGACAATTTTAAGGCTCTGGGGTGGGTTGGATGCTCCTTTCAGGGAAAGAACTACAGTGTTGTCGTTCTTTTACTGACTGTTGTAATACAGTTCATAAAATGCGCACATCACAAGTAATACGAAAGCTTGCCATACATAGGGGGAGGTGATTTGTGTTATTTTTCAGCTGTTGCAGCAAAGCATGTTTCTTTTTGTTCTAGTTCCACCTAGAAGTGTTCACATTACTTCAGGTACATTGGTTTTACTTTGGGGTTACGTTAGAAAATATTAGTGGGGGGTGGGGGAATACACATTGTACTTGGAGCCTGATGCCTTTATTGTGTCTTTTATTTGACTGAATGAAATAATTTTAAAGCACTGCTTTGTTTCTCCCTCTTACCCCAGGCTATGAATACAGAAGAGGAGCACGAACACTGGCAAGATAAGGAAAGCTACCTCTGTGCAGTGTGCCTGGATGTTTATTTTAATCCTTACATGTGCTATCCCTGCCACCACATCTTCTGTGAACCTTGCCTACGCACACTCGCCAAAGATAATCCAACCAGCACTCTGTGTCCTTTGTGCCGCACGGCAATTGCCCAAGTTTTTTTCCAATCAGGTATAAAGCTTTTATAGATATATTTCATCTTTCCTAGTAACGACCAATAAATATTTAGCTGTCTTCCCTCAAAGTGAATGTTCAGGACTAATTAGACACTGTACTCCAAATCTAGTATAATGGTAACTAGTCATACATTAGGCATGATGGTAGCAGATCCATGTGTCTAAATCCACATCTATTCCAGTTATGTAGAGAAAGGGATGAGTACAAATGTTAGTAGCGAAAGTGGAAAGCCAGGAGGGAGTGTTAAACTGTCCCTCACCAAACCAGGAGGTTCTTCCAAGACACATTCGTCTTCAACTGGGCTTAGAATCACCAATATTGGGAGAAAAGCACGTGGGGAGATTGTGTGTGTAGCACTCACTTCTCCATAGCCAAACACCCTGCCCCTACATAAGGGAGGAAGATGCTGCTTGAAACACATAATCAGTTATGTTCTTATCTAGTCGGAGTCTTAGTTTCTCACACTCTTCTTTCAGGTGCATCCAGAACACAATTTTTGTTGCAGGAACAAAAATATATGGTTTTAAATAGAATTAACCCTAAATCCCAGGATGCATTCACTTAATAGTCTTACCTGTTGCTAGGTCCACCCCCAACCCTCTTTGATGCATTAAACCCAGAAGCATGGGCTATACAAAAATTAACGATTACAGCAGGTGTTTCAGTTTTTCCACAATATGATCTATCTCACTCCAAGTTCCTGTGAATAGCTCAAAGCATTCCTCTCTCGCAACATTAAAAATATAGCACTAGAAACCAGAATAGCAGTAATCCATTCTTCTAAGATTTCTCCAGCTATGCAACTTTTGAAATTAAAGAGTGGGTACAAACATTATCTGGTTGAGCTTAGATACCCTGCAGCCCAGAGAGCTTTTTCCTTATTAAGTTTTCAGCTTTGAAATCTGCAGTAACGGGGGAAGAGCACTTGGTATGCCCACAGGACCAGATAAGATGCATTTGTGGTTCAATGGAAATTGAAGAGCTAGCTCATTATTTATTGTACTGTCCATTATATAGCACATCCAGAGATAATCACTTGGGCGCTTTTCTAAAGAGGATGAGTAATGGCCCACAAAATTCCAGATTAATTTTTTTGCTAGGTTTCTGCCAAAATGGTGGCAGAGACAACTTGCCTGATTGAGTCAGGAAGGAAGGCTATTAATTGCAAAGGTGATGAGAATCATTAGTGATCCTGTGTTTATGTATTGAGGTTTTGGACAGCTTTCCTCTGCACTAGAGCCCAGGCTAGACTATGCTTTCCCCCAATCTTCTCTGCATATTTATTTAGAAAATGTTGATACTATCCTTCATCCTACAACTGATAATAGAATGATATCCAGCAAAATATAAAAACATTATAAAACACAAATAATTTAAAAATAATGGAAACACTAAACCATCATAAAATCATTTAAAAAATAAGGCAAGGGCTAATCTCTACCAATTTCCTGCCACTTAAGTACTGCAGGCTGATAGACTACCTAGAAACTTCATCAGCTAATAATCTACTTTAGGGCACTGCTATATAAAGTTGCAGAGAGCTCTTTAATTGCATGTGCTCAGCTTCCTTAGCTATGATTGAGACCCTTCTGCTTTAAAATCTATACTTAATATCTGTATGTTTACTTCCTAGACTGCAGCCCTTTATATAGCTAGGGATGCTATATAAGTATTCAAGAAGATATCACATCATAAATAAATAAGCTAAAAGTATTGCTCTGCTTTCCTTTGGACCCCATCAGTGAGTCCAGTGAGTCTTGTCGTCTGAGCAACCCAGGACCTCCATACAAACTGCCCTGGCTTATGCTCCAGAGAGGTCACTTTAGTGCTGCAAGTACACTGACATGTAGCCTTGAACCACAGTGTATATAGCTAGACATACCCAAATGCTTACATGCAACCTATCTAGAATCTGCTGTGGCCAGATCCTAAGCGTACTTGTTCAGTGGAACTTATTCCCTGGTAAGAATGGATAGGATTGCAACCCAGGTCATGCAACTGTAGCCTGTATTTTAAAGTATACAATGCTTACAAGTGCTATCTTTAAAAAAAAACAAAAACTGCTGCAGGAACTCAACCAATTTTTAGATCTGTTTTAACATGCAGCACAGAGAGCAACTGTTAAAAAAACACATACCCAAAATTCTAGTTAAGTGGTAACTAGTTGGATAATTAAATGGTTTTCTGGATTGTGGCATTCATTCCACATTACTGAGAATAAGTTTCCTGAAAGTAACAGATCTATATACAAAAGCTCATGCTTGCCAGGTTATATGTGTTCTTATATGTGTTTTGTATTGAATGTTTAAATTTTTTGGGATTTTAAAATTCCTTTATGTGCTGCGTGGAGACTGTGTGTGTGTGTGTGTGTGTGTGTGTGTGTGTGTGTATAATATGTGAGAAATGTAAATAAAATCTTTGGCAATTACAAAATTTACATTATGAAGTGGTTTAGATTTGTGACATGTTTTTTTCCTTCTCCCACACTGCAGAACTGAACAGTTCAACAAAGACTCACTTTCCTATTGAATATTCAAAATTAAAGGAAAATTTTCAAGAATCCGGTTTAGCAAAATGGCCCCTCCCTAGTTGCAGGAAGGCATTCAGAGTTATTGAAGGTAAGAAAGATTGCTAAATATTTTGCCTTTTCAGGTGTCACATGCAGCCTGTAGCATTTATGTGAATGGATTTGATGCCATTTCTTGGCCGCTACCTGTAAATTTTGCAGCCTAAGGTCTACAGATTCATTACATTAAATGTCCCAGAGTTCATAACAGGACACTACTGGGGCCCTGTATTGAAAGAGTATAGGATAATACCACTGTTCAGTTTGGTGGGTCTAACTGGTATTTGGGGTAGTTATGCACCATGTTGTACAATATTATTGCTGTGTTTCACATTTGAAATCTAGGAATGTGACATTTTCCTGTAAACTTACTTTACTGTCAGTTTCCCCAGGAAATACAGGTGTGAACCACCTGAAGTTTGCTTTCTTTTTCATTCAGCTTCCTACTAACTTCCACTTACAGGTTTTCAAAATCTTAAGCAGATTATAAATGCTTCTAAATAAATAAATAAAACTATTGCCCTATGCAATGACTTGTACAATCTTATAATAATATAACTATGATCTTTGATTCAGCAACAGCCATTGCCCTCTAATATGCATTGTTGCCTCATGGGGCTTGGATATGGAATTGCTTGGAGTTGGCTTAAGCTGAGGTCCTTTCTGTTTCACGAATGCTAAGAAGTAGGCAGAAAAAGAACCAGAGACCCTCTATCATGGTCAGAATAGGCACTGCCATGACATGACTTTATCACTTATTCTAGGGAGCAGAGCCCTGCACTGACTTGGTTTTATTTGAAACATTATTCTGGCAAGCCTTTGAACAAGATTGGAAGGTTAACTCTAAGAGTACTATATCCAGAATTGATAAACAGTTGACCCAAAATCATCTTCCAATGTAGTACTGTAAAACTGGGTCAGTCAAGGTCAGTCCTTTTTTACTGAAAGCAACAAAAAATGTTCTGTGGCCTAAGGAGCATTTATGGTTCTGCTCCCAGGCAAAATTTACAACCAGCAAAGGCTATGCTTTTCTCTTCTTTCATTGAGTACCATTGTCCTTCTAGCCTTGTGCTGAGCATGTATTTTTTGTTGTTACATAACTGCCATAAACACAGCACAGGACACACATTGTTGCTGGTATCCTTGTTTGCCCAATGTCACTTTGAAAAGAGTAGTCATGCAGTATGAAATGACAGATCTGATGGAAGCAACTTCAAAGAGTTGATCTAGCTAAATGTCAGATAAAGGAAGGAATCTGCAGAAATGCTGTTGGGATTTTAGAAAGAATAATCATAAAGAGAAGGAATGTCTAGATGCCCTCTAATACATATTTACAGATGTATATTCAAGAGTGAAGATAAGATGACAAAGATGGGTTTGGGCATGACCTCTACTTCTGTCACAGGCTTGAAATTGATGGCTCATTAAACCACTTCAAGCTTTGTAATTCTGTTATTTAAAATACCAAAATTTAAGAGCAGTCTTAGTATTTCAGTGAACTTCTTCAGGAGGTTGTACATTTCCTTCCTTATAGGCTTTTATGAGAAAGGTTGAACAGGCACCTGACAGGGATGCTTTAGGTACAGCTATATTGGCAGAGATTAGGGAACTGAACAACAGTCCTCTGGTTTCCTTGCCCCTTATGATTCTATAATAATGCCCACCTAGTCATTAATAAGTATATTAAATATCAATTAATGTTTAACCAAAAATACTCATGAATTAAAGTCACTGCCTCTCATCAGTTGGTAACTAGAATCCAGTTACTAATCCGATTATTGGTATTGACTAGCTGTGCTAGCTTAAGACTGTTTTTGTTATGAGAATTGCTATGAGTTACATAAAAGAGTAATCACTGAGAGTCCAAAAAAAAAAAAAAACCCACCCAAATGAGTGTGCCCAATCAATTTTACTGAGTAAAACTCTCAGTACGTCCCTAGTTCTGCTTTCATGCCGGCAAACTACTTGCTGGCTCTTTTTTCTAATTCCTCTCCCTGTATTGTATCTCTTAGGATTGCTAAAATATTTATAGAATCTCTAATGCCTTTTGGGTCACTCCTCCCAAAGGCTCTATGAGCCATGTTTTAAACATAATGCATTATGTTTCTTTCTTCACCTTTCCACACTTTCAGAACATCCTGAGTACATGTTGCTACAGAGAGCTTCTGAACACTTCCTGTTAAGACAGTTTTTCATTGAAGAAAAATATTAGATTTAAGTTCCATGGAATCAGTGAAAACACTGTATCCAAAAAGCAAGAGTATTAAAACTAGAGATAAAACATACAAACTACTATCTTACCGTTTGTAGTTGTTTTACAATGCTTTATGTTTATTTTCCTTAATTCTGTATTATTATTTACCTGCCCTTTGCCCTAAGGCCTCAGACCGGGTTACAACAATACAACATTTAAAACGATTTATTATCACAAATATAGGGTGAGTCCTGAAAATAGATATCTCAGGCATCAAAGCTGTGCATCTTCACCATTCAGGACAAGCTGTATAGTGAATTGCCATATGGACCACGGTGAGGAGTTCCACAGCTTAGGGAAGAAGGCTATTCTGTTATTCTTAATAAGCGCTTATTCTGTAACCAGTGAAAACATGCTATTCTACAACATTGTTCTGAATCACTCAATCAACAATTAGCTTTAAGACCTGCTGTAATTAAGATAGCTACCCGCATTGCTCAAATAATTAATTACTTGCTCACTTCATATATGTAGCATTTTAAGTAAAATTGTCCATTACCTGTAGTTTTCATCATGTGAAAACACTTCACATAAATTTTACATGGGCAGGTATTTCTCAGTCCCCCGCAACCACTACACCAGTTGAAGCCACTGAGATGCAAAGTCTTTGTGGCAGGCACAAGTATGGGGTACGATGGTGGCACAAGTGACATGACAGATCCTAAAGCCAATGCAGAATCTGAATTGAGATCTCCTCAGATACTGATTCATTCTGATGAGTACCTTACAAATTCCAAATCTGATGATGACCAGCAGTTCATCGACTCCTTGGAGAACATGGGACAGATAGATTAAGTTCTGCCCAGTTGTGGTGTCATCGCCTCTGCTCCTCAGCTAAGCAATCAGTCCCAATCGATAAGCAGCACTGACATCAATATTAGTATTCCTGTTCCTTCAGAAATCCACATGACACACTATGAAGACCAAACTAACAAGTCTGAATTGGAAGGCAAAGGACCCCAGGAAACTGCTGCCACAGACAATGCTATAATAGAGTTCACTAAGCCGATTGATGTCTACTGCCACAGATTTATGCAGGACGCTCAAACTAAGATGACAAGTGTTTCGGAAATGGAGGTGAATTCTCAAGAAGCCCAGCAAGAGGTGGATTGTGTTAGCAATAACACTTCCAAGAAAACTGAATCTTGTTTGGGAACAGCTGTTGAGATTCCTTCTAGACCATCTAAATTGAATGTACCATTTTCAGAGTCAGGATCCCAATTCTTAGCAGTAGAAAACACCAATGCTAAGTCTCATAACAGTCCAGGCTCCTCATCTAGTGTACTGGAAGCTGGGTCAGGTTTCATATGACTCCTTCACCAGCAGAGAATAATGGCAGTGGGACAGTTTCTCCTTTTGCAAAGATTCACAGCTCCATGGTTCAAGTGACTAATATTACAGAAGCTGGTTTGACCCAACAAATCAGCTTTGCAGTGGCTAAAGTCCAGAAGAACCAGAATCTGTAAATTAAATTCAGCAAAATGAACTGAGAGAAATGTTCACACAGTGTCAGATGTGAATAATTCAGATCGAGAGAGCATACGCTTCAGATTTAAGTTGTACATATTGCTAAACTAATGGTTTGTAACGGCCTCTTGAGGGGAGGGATGAACCATCTGCCACTAAGTATTGGTATCAAAAAATGCCAGTAACTATGTTTATAGAAAGGTTTGGGAAATGTTAATTGGGTTCTGAACAGGTTTCAGAATTATTCTCAGATGAAGGTAAACTATATTAAACTGGCAGCTCATACCCCAGTGGTTGATGTGCATGTTAGTTTGTGTGATCAATTGCACAATTATCTTTTGAGACCAGTTTCTACAGGCTTTCTGATTTATGTAGAAGAAGCTGGTTCTGAACACCTGTTAACCCTAAATGTATTTAATGTTATTGGCCAAGTGATAGTGAGTGTCTGTGCACGGGTGCATGCCCATGCAAGACTCAGCTCTCAGTTTTAACATAAAAGTGAATTGATTGGTGTTGAATTGCCAGGAGAACAAATCCCTCTATAAATATTTCTGTAATTATCTTTAAACTATTTTGAAATGATATGATAAAAAGTGTCAACGCATCTGTGAAACAGCCAACTATTTTGTTTAATTTCAGCACAAGATGTGCTCGATACTTAAATAACAGATTTAAAATAGCAACAAGCCACAAAGTGATATTTCCTAACATCTTTATGTTAGTTGCTTAAACTCTCAGTAACAGTAACATGCCTGGGTGTGATGAATATTCATTGACCTCTGATTTCCAGGTTAATCTTGGGAATTTTCCTTGTATTATATAAACTATTTTCAAGTCTTCATGCACAAATCACAGAAAGGAGTTATATTAATCAGTTCTTACTGAAAACCTGCATGTAGGACACCTGTATCTAGTAATTTATTTCTGCTTAATGTGCACAATAAAGCTGTCAATTTGGTTGAGGAAGTAGCACAGAGACAATGGAGGAAATTCAGAGACTTTTACATCATTAAAAAACTTTTCCTAAGCCACAATACCTCAAGGACTGCCTCTCCTCATATGAACTGACCAGGACCCTGTGATCATCATCAGAGGCCCTTCTTCACTTGCCTCTTCCATGAGATATCCAAAGGGTGGCAACACGAGAACAGGCCTTTTGTGTGGTAGCTCCCTGTTTGTGGAATGCTCTCCCCCAGGGAGGCTCGCCTGACACCTTCATTACAGGCAAAAACATTCCTCTTCTCAAATGCCTTGGGCAATTAAACAAACTAGGGTCTTTTAAACTGTGGTGGGGTATTATTTTGTTTTTTACTATGTTATGTATTTTTATG